TTTGAATTAATCTCATCCGTTGGTTAGAATGGATTCATCTTTGACATTGAAATTCTGACAAGGACAAATTGTACATTTGTCTTCTTGTGTTGGAGCTTTAATTCGGGCTGATGTATTTGTCTTGAATAATTCACCCGCTGGAGTTTCTCTTCAAGAAACAGTTTCATGTGTGCGTCCCATGACGCGGCCCCCAGTACTTGATTCGGTATTAAATACCGGTCAAGTTTTGTCTTCAATTATCCGAGCTTCGTGACATATGAGTAATTTTTTAGTCAAATAGTATTTGCCGGTAGGATTCAAATATCCTATTAAGGTAAACAAATTTTACCTTATTGCATTTTTATTTTTCCAGTAATATTTCTGAGACTCAAAATTGTACATTTAATTTGTCACGTTAATACTAGAATAAAATGAGATACAATGTACACGTGCTAAGTATAGTGGCATCATCAAAATCTTATCAAAATTGGGTACTAACAAAGACAAATGAATCTTCGTCATTAGTGACGCCAGCGTGTTCCTTATTGAGTACATTAGCGTGTTCCATAAGTCTACTCATAAAGAGATGATAGTATTAATATTCCCTTTGTCTCACTTAAAGGTTCTCACCCGATTTATGATATTTGACTGGTCATAAAGTTAACTAATCACTGTCATTAATAAGATTATTTTACGAATTATAATTTACTTATTCAAAAACCTATTTTAAAAGTTTATAAACTTGCAAAAGAAAAACTCAAACTTGATAAAAGTTGGATATATAAAGTAAAAGATTAAAAAGAATTTACGTTAACCGGAGAACAGTGACGGAAGGGAGGTTTAGAGCATGTCCAATGTCTAGAATAAAAAAATTATTTGTATTTTGTAAACTATTAATGCTACTAACCTACTACAGTTCTTTTTTCCTTCTAACTTGAAAAAGTAACAATTCAGTGAATACAAGCTACTGGTTAGAACGGAGACAAACTTGAATTAATATGTGTATCAACAAATATAATTAATTAAATGGGAGTAGACCTTTTTATTAAATTAATTAATAATGCAACGATAAAACAAGTTAATATTGGTTAATTTAGTATTCTTTATTTAATGTCTTTGTTTTTTTTAATTTCAAGTAATTTTTATTTTTGCATAAAATTAATAAAGTCGATCTTTTCCATTTTAGGTGTTGTTATTATTTTATTATTTCTTTTTTCAAATCTAACGAAGTACTTTTTTTCATTTACTTAATAAATACTCCATTCCTTTTCATATTATCCCCATTATCAACATAATAACATGAATTACAATTTAAAAATGTTAAGGACATGTTCCCAATTTAAAAGTATTTTGAAATAAGTTTATTATTTTTATTGTATTTAGAAAATTAATTCATTTAAAATGTACAATTTCAAAGTTAATTGAATGTGAGACCTTCTCAAGTGGTAGTCATTATAGCTAACCATTAGAGTATCATATTACCGGAAGATTGAGTAGGTAAAAATAGTTGACATAGACAAATAAAAGTACAACATAAATAGCTTGGAATTGTCATTTGAAATGCTCTGCACAAATACAATTACACTAAAAGTATATTCAATGTTAGAGTGTACACGATACACATATAAGTATATAACATGAGAGAGACCAAAACTAAATATGTGACATTTCTCTTTCTTTCTTTTCACGTATATTTTTAGTAACGTTTTCTCAATAATGTCAAGCGCAATATCTACACATACACGTTCAACTTAACATTGACAAGAAAACTTACAAAAACGTATAAGATCGTTCAAATATGGAGATGTGTATTCTACTCCCCGTCCCGCTAAAATTGTTCAATTTTTCTTTTTTCCAATTCATACCACTAAGATCGTCACACACTCTCATACCAGATTTGATAAAGTTTGTATGACTTAAATCTTTTTTACTTTAATTTTTCTCACTTTATGAATTTAATATCAACCACCAAAATCTTCTTTCTCAATAACCGCACCACTTCTTCATGTCTTAGTGGACAGAAAGAGACAACCACTTCTTCATAACTCTAAGCAACGGAAAATTGATCAGAAAATTGATGAGATCAATATGTACTATGATTGTCGGTACATCTCTGCTTATGAGGCTGCTTGGAGGATTTCTTGGATTCCACATACACATACAAGGATGTGTCGGTTGAACATCTTAGTTTTCATCAGTTTGACGAGCAAAATGTTTATTACAGGGCATATGATTCTGTCCAAGACGTCCTATCAAATCGTAAGATTCACGAGACAAAATTTACTGCTTGGATGAGAGCAAATCAAGTATACCTCGAGCCAGAAACTTGACATATGTGGACTTTCCAAGCAAATTGTGTGGAAGAAGGATATTAAGCTGTGGGAGGAAAGAAGGCAAAATTTTTGCGGTTAGACGTGTCTACTTTGTTCGTCTCGTAGTAGGTGAAAAATATTACTTACGACCCCTATTGAATTGCGTAAAGGGACCAAGAAGTTTTGAGGAGTTAAAAACAGTTGATGGCAGCATATTATATCTCACCTTTAGATATGTTTGCTATCCTGTGGGGTTGTTTTTAGATGATAAGGATTACATTCATGCTATTACTGAGGCAAGTATGTGGTCATCCAAACCTTCATTACGTAAAGTGATTGTCACTCTTCTTATTGCGGGCGCACTGTCATAGGTGGATTTGGTGTGGAAAAAATGTCGGCAATATGTTTCAGAGGATATATTGTACAATATGAGGACACGAAAGATCTGGGTATATGTGTCTTTCAATATAGTCAATTAAAACTATTTCTCTTAGACTTTTATTTTTATGATTTAATAGGTAAATTTTAATGTAAATCACATACCTCAACGTGATTAATCTTTTTTGTAGAGCACGAAATGGTTGACGAGGAGATAGAGAAATATTGTTTTGTGGAGATGAAGAAACTTCTCCAGCAACGAGAAAGATCATTATGTGTTGGAATGTCATTGCCCCTAACTGGCTAACTCATACATGCCTTCTATGGAAGATGTTCTCCTTAATGAGGAAATGAGATATGATAAGTGTGCTTTGGCCGAGAAGTATGAAAGCTTGATGGTTGATAAGAATGATGAGCAACATGCTATTTATGATGAAATCTTGAAATCTGTAGAGCAAAATATTGGTGGCGTATTTTTCCTATATGAATACGGCAGAATTGGGAAATGTTAGAATCCCACACCCCAAATCTTAACAGGAAAACATACTTATGACAGACTTTTGTCTATAGCTAAGGTCCAAGGGGTATACAGTATAAATGTGACATCTAACAATATTGCATCACTACTTCTACCAGGAGGAAGGACCGCACACTCCAGATTCGATATTCCGCTAGATGCAACAGAAGATTCAACATGTCACATAAAGCATGGAAGCCCATTGGCGAGTTGAGGCTGATCAAATGTACCAGTTCGATCATTTGAGATGAGTCGCCGATGACACACAATTACTTATTTGACAAGTAATTAATGTACAAATTAATTCATATTGAAAATAATGTTCGTTGTGCATTGACGTGCAAGTATTGCTTTGAAGCATCGGACTGTAATATGAGAAATGTCTTATGCTACTCATATGATTGTGATCCTACCATGCCTTTTGGTAGGAAGATAGTCGTATTTGGCGGGGACTTCAGACAAATATTGCATGTCATTCCAAATGGCTCAAGACAAGATATTGTACAAGTGGCTTTGAATACATCATTTATGTGGTCATATTGCAAGGTGTTGAAGTTGACAAAGAATATGAGACTCGGGCGCGTGGGAGGAACATCTTTCGCATTGAAAATTCAAAACTTTGTCAAGTGGATTTTGAATATTAAGGATGGGGTCCTAGGGGGTGGTGATGATGAAGAATCAATGATTGGCATCACTGAAGAATTTATTGATCCCCGTGACGAATGATCCTATTGAAGCTATTGTTAAGATTACCTATCCCGATTTTGAAATGCACTGTAATGATGTTTCTTATTTGAGTTCTAGGGCAATTCTTGCGCCAACCATTGATGAACGCGGCAAGATCAACAATTACATGTTGGGACTGACTCCGTTGGGGTAAAGACACACTTAAGCTCGGATTCAGCATCTTCTTCTAACTCAGACAGTCCAATTCCTTCAAGAGATCCACTCTCCAAAATTTCTCAATACCATAAAATGCTCTAGTGTGTCAAGTCATGAGCTGAAACTGAAAGTGGGTGCACCTGTAATGTTGATGAGGAATATCGATCATTCTTCGGGATTGTGTAATAGCACTCACCCTATCATAATACACTTGGAACACATATTCTCGAGGCTCAGATGATGCCAGGAACAAATGCAAGACAAAAGTTTCTTATTCTGAAATTTAGTTTGACTCCATCTAATCCCTTTGATGCTTAGCTACGCGATGAGTCGATGACCATCAACAAGAGTTAGGGAAAAACTTTGAAGAGGGTTGGTGTTTTCTTACGTCGTCCGATTTTCACCCGTGGACAGCTTTACGTCGTGACTCAAGAGTAACATCCTCGTCTGGTTCGAAATTTGTTATATGTGATAATGACCGGAAACCAGCAAAGAAAACTTTAAATGTTGTTTACAAAGAAGTATATAATACTCCTTCCGTCCCCCTATAATTGTCCAATTTTTTCATTTTTGGATGTCCCCCTAGTATTGTGTCATACCTTATTTGGTAACATTTGTGTGGCTCTAATTTATTCTTAATTTTTTCTCACTTTATCAATCATTATCAACCACATAATTGTATTTTTCTTAAAAACTACACCACAATCTTCCGTCCCAATATTAGGGGGACAGAAGTAGTAATTTGTAATTTTTATCTTCATCTATATTTCTTAAAAACAATATATCTATTGTTCTATCTTTATCACAACATTTCCATATATTTCCAAATGATTTATTGCTTACATGATTCAGTTTTTCATTCAATTTTATTTTTCTTTTGCATTTTTTTACGATGGTGTTCCGTTTCTCGGGCCATCTGCTCTATATGGGTCAAGGCCTTATTCTGAATTCTGCTTTTGGGCTTGACTACAATCACCAGTTCACTGCATCTACGACCATCCCTTAATTTCTACAAGCTTCTCCCTTCCGCTCTGTCTCCCGAGTCTGCACTTCACCCTTCTTCCTCATTCATCCTCAGGTATCTCTTTCCTTCGTATGCAGTCCATCTTTATCCGTCGTTTTATCCGAAAACCTTACTTAATATTCTCAAATAAAAACTGTCTTGTTTCAGTTATCAAGATTTTTTTTGAAAGGGTTTCAGTTATCAAGATAAGCTGAATTTATCAGTATTTAATTTGTAGGTAGTCAAAATTTGAAATTTTATATTAACCTTAATTAATATTAACAAAGATATGTTTGAAAGCAGTAAAAGGATTTTATTTTTCGTATTTCAGATAAGTATTCTCTCTGTTATGCTATTTAAACTTTGCGATTATTTGTATTCATTTATAACAGGCTGGTTGCAAAATGAATTTCTTTTGTATTTTTAAAACCCGTGTTTCGTCAGTTTTAAAATATGAGTGTCTGTTTCATTAAAATGATTGAATTTTGTGTTCTGATACGGAGTATTATGTATTGTTTTAAGAATTTCAGATCACCTTTATTGCTGAGCAAAACAAATTTTTATGCAGAGACGATGGATTCTTGTGATTTTTTTTAGTTCAATTTATAGAGTTAGAGCATGGCCTTTTTTACCACTCTATTCTTTGGGTGGGATATATATATATAAATGTTGAATTCTGAGTATCATTATTGATGTAGTTAGAACCTGAGTAAGTTATTTTTATAACTTCCTGTGTACTATCTATTATGAAAAAGATGACTATACTTAGCATTCTGAGTATCATTATTGATCTAGTTAGAATCTGAGTGTGATTTTTTTATAATTTCCTGTGTATTATTAAAAAGATGACTATACTTAGCTATTAGTCAAATCAGCAAGTGTGCTTCTTTACCGGAGAATCAACTTTTATGTTTTTCACTTTTTGTTCAGTCAACTTGGTCTTCCCATGAAAAATAAGAAAAATTGCAGGTCATTAAGGCATAAGCCTCCAAATATACTAACAGATAACAAATGCGAACATTTAACTACTAAGTATCAACTAAACTTATGCATAATTTTAAGTCCAGAAGTTTCAAACAAGTGCATGACATGAGGCTTGGTATTACCGGAGAACCAGTTTATGAAATTTTGTATTTAACCAATGTTTGTTTTTGGGAACAGGAATGGCTTTTTCAAATAGAATTGGGAATGCGCTCAAACAGGCACTAAGTAAGCGCATTATTCCAGATTTGTCTCTCTCAAATTCATCCATGTACCAGGCATTTAGAAGCATGTCATCTTCAAAGCTTTTTGTTGGAGGTGAAAATATTACCTTTTTCTTTACTTGTGAATTTTCCGTTACCTTTTACAGTTGTGTTGAGTTTGGTTTGTTTTCTTTGCAGGCCTCTCATATGGAACTGATGAAACTAGTTTGAAGGAAGCATTTAACCAGTATGGTGATTTGGTTGATGGTATTCCCAATCAAGCCTTACATAAAATGCACAATCTGACACATCCTGAACTATTGAAAAGGACTAGGACGGATGCTACTCCTAATTTTTTGGAATTTGGAAATCCTCTTACAACTTTTATACTACGTATTAATTTCTATTTTGAGATTCCCGACAATGCTAGTAGGGTTCTAACTCGTTTAATTAGCGGGAGTAAATCGAGTGGAAATTATATAATAAGAAAATTCAAGGGAATGCAATCTTGTATGGTGTTTGTTATTCTATAGATGGTCACATTTTTTATAAGCTTAATTACGCATCACTCTAGTAACAACGTGCCTCAGAGTATCGACTTTTTCAGAGTTTCTTTCAGAATGCTAGTTGCAAATAACTTGAATTCTTGAAATAATGTAAATTGTCTGCAGTGCGGATTATTATGGATCGTGAAACTGGAAGATCCAGAGGCTTTGGATTTGTGTCTTTTACCTCAACAGAAAGTGCTACCGCAGCCATGCAGAACTTGGATGGACAGGTATGGATGAGGTTTGTTTGTGTGTGTGTCTGTGAGACAGAGAGGAACAAGAGGAGTCGATGCAACTCATGAGTCTTATTTGAAGTTGGGTTTCTTATTTTTGCGAGATCAAAGGATGACTTGGGACCCCTTCACTTGTGACATAATTGACCAGATAAGACCAACACTAAATAAAAACTACAGAGTAATATACAATAGTATAATACCATAACAGATCGGGCCAGACTTAAACATAGCGGTTCAAACAAGACTGGAAAATTTGAGTCTATGAACAGGTCCTTGGTTTCTAATTACCCCCTTCCCTCCTTCCCCAGAAAGGATCCCCTTATCTTTCCGCATCCTCCTCTTTTGGAGTTGGAGTCAAATATGCCTTTTTATATGTCCACTCAACTGAGTCAACACTACAATCTCTACCCAGACTGGCATAGTATAAATCGAGTTAATATCTAGTTTGGTTCTTTTACTATACAGTATTACTCAATTCAGTCTTGTCTTTTTGCTCAAAATGGTTCTCATGCATATTGCAACCTAATTAAGAAGGTGACTTATTACATTGAGGATTTTATTGGTTCTAAATTACATAGTATAAGACTATAAATTCAAATTGAGTGAACTAGTAGACGGTATGTTGGATCCAAATTTCATACTCAAGGAATGAAGTGAGACAGAAAGATCAAAGAGCGGCTTAGTTGAGTAGCAATAATAATAATGTAATGTTGATGCACTAAATTAGCTATTAATTGTTTTGAATTTAACTCAAAGCTTATTGTGTCAACATTCTAGGACTCTAACCGGGGATCCAGTGAAACAATTTATTTGTTGATAAAATTGTTAAATAGTCCGTAATATTTTGTTGTATTTCTTATCTTTGACTCTCATTGTTATGTAGGATCTTCATGGCCGACGGATCAAGGTGAACTATGCAACCGAGAAGCCTCGCGGTGGCTTTGGTGGTGGAGGGGATGGATATTCCGGTGGTGGTGGTAACTACAACAGTGGATATTCCGGTGGTGGTGGTAACTACATCAGTGGATATTCCAGCGGCGGTGGTAACTACAACAGTGGATATTCCAGCGGCGGTGGTAACTACAACAGTGGATATCCAAGTGGAGGAAATTACAATAGTGGATATACTGGAGCTGATAACAACAGTGGATATTCCAGCGGAGGCGGTAACTACAACAGTGGAGGTGGTGGTGGCTATAACAGCAATTATGCTGCTACTCAGGAGACAAACTTCAATGATAAGAATGAGAATTTTACGGCCTCTAGTGGCAACTTCAACAGTGGATTTGCCGATGATGGAAATTATTCCACCAACACCGGACTTGAGGAGGCAGGAGGTTACAATGTAGGCCAGCAACAGATGAACATAAAACAAGAGGGAGCTGAGTTTGTGAAAGATGATTTACAACATAGCAGTAGTTTGGATGATGGGAATTACAGGGATGATGATGATGATGCAGATGGTTTTGCCAACAGAAGGGGATAAATTTGTTGAGGATGTCTAGGAACATAGCTTAATAATTATAAGTATGTTCTTTTTTAGCACTGCCATTCACATTTCATTGTGTTTGTTGTCAATTTGTTATGTTTTGTATGTGGTATCGTCTCTGACTTCTCCTTGTGAGCTTTACTGACATTTCTTGTTTGGTGACCTTTTATTAGTTATTATTATGATTATTAAGGTTTTGGGTTAGTCTATACACCTTTGTCATTTTTCTCACACACTTGATTATTTTTTTGCATATCCTTCTAAACTTATTATAATATTTGTTCTAGTTAGAGCTTCTCCAACAATCACCATTTCATACACCAAAATGGTGTATTTGTCAAATTTTTGCTCCAACAACAACACCATTTCTTTCACCATTTCACCATTTTGGTGGAGAGGATTTTGCTTTACACCAAATATGGCGTACACCATTTCATACACCATCTTCTTTTTTCATTTTTTTTTATTTCAAATGTTACTCAAAGTTTTGATTCTTATAATTTTGACCCATTTCTCAAATTGAGCTCATATTGAGCTCCACAATGCTTTAATTGATCATTTGTGGGAACAATTCTCAAATTCCGATAACTAAACTAATAATATTTATTTAATGTATTGCTTTAAGTTTAAGTAGTACTTTATTAATGACGTACAAATTATTATAATATTATTGTAATATTTAATTTTATGTGGTTTTAGCTTGTATTTGTGAAATATTGATTATTATATTTTAATTAGTGAAATGCGTGAAAATACATATTAAAATGGTGTATTTTAGTTTGTATGTGTGAAATGTCAAAATATTAAATGAGGGGCTAATGTATAAATATATGATAATTACATACTTAAATAGAAGAATGGTAAAAAGTTAGTAAAAAGAATAAAAAGGGAATATTCCTTTTTGGTGATGAAAATGGTGTAAACTGTTGGAGATAAAATACTGTATGATATGATGTTTACACCATTTTAGTGTACAAAATGGTGTAAACTGTTGGAGATGGCCTTAATGCCAACATCCTTCTAAACTTATATATCATTTACGGTAACTTCAGTCAGTGAAGCATGCTAAGTCTATGTTTAAGAAATCGGACTAGGAGGAGACCTGGCCGTGTGACCGGGTCATGGGGTCAACCTGCACCCGGTCGTGTCAACCTGGTCAACGCCATAAAACCAATCAACCATATAATAATAAATATATAATTGTATACATAGTTAAAATAAAAGGTAGTTATTTCATGATAATCAACTAATGATAATACTTTCTAAACACTTGTAAGTCGATTTAAAATAGTCTCATAAAATATACTATGCATATTGCATAATGTATGGGTGGACTCGGGCCGGGTGGCCCGAACCGGTGGCCCGGCCAGGGACCGGTTCGCATAGGCCCGGTGGTTATACAGTGCGGGCTTAGGTCCCCCAAATGATGAACTGGCCGGGCCGGGCTCGGCTCCGGGCCTTTTTTTTCAATTTTTTTATTTTTCTGGGTTGGGCTGGGTGTTTTGGGCCATTTGGGGTGGTTTGGGGGGGGGGGTGAGGGTGGGATTAGGGGATTAATTAGAAAATTAAAAAAAAAGATAGGAAGTGGCCCGAGGCCCGGCCCGGACCCGCCGGCCACCCGAATCGGTTCCGGTTCACACATTTTTAAATAAAAGCCCGGCCAGACCCAGGCCCGAACCGGAACCGGCCCGGCTCGAGTCCACCCATAGCATAATGATATTCCGTATTTGTTATTGTAGAAAGAAGTCTAATGCTTGAGAATACATGGTTGTCAATCTCTTACAATGAAATAAATGCTGCTATTTATACTACAAGTTAGTAGGTAGAAGTGGTGATGTGGTCGATCATGAGTGGATGAATCATGTACCATAAAATCTTTCATATCTGGTACATTAAATGTACTTCCCGCCAATTGCTTGGTGGCGTTCTGCCTTGATCAGTTGTTGGATTCAGTAGGGAAGCCCAAGTGAAGGGAACGGGTCATACCTCAATGCTCATGCGGGACCGCTGAATGCTAACGCTGAAACTTGCTACACTTGTCAGGCCTAAACGTAATTTGGGCCTTACATGTATATTTGGGATCGTATCGGGACAAAGGCGGATATCCCAACATTCACCTTATCTTTTTATATTTTAAAATCCGTTTTCAAATAAAATTACCCAAAAATATAAATTATAAACAATAAGACAATAATAATCTCCAAAATCCCAAACAAAATATTTATCTTAATTTTGAGTTTAATTTTGTTCGGGCCGTCCAAAAATAATAAAAACTCGGACCGGTCATAGTTTTCGATCCGGACTAGGGTCAGTTTCCGGGTCTCAATTTGTTATTCCCATTTTTTTTAAATCTGTCTTTTCGAATTTATTCCTACACCACCCATCCCCCCAAACCCACCCAAACCACCCAACCCCACCCACCTAGCAGCCAATCAATGGGAAAAAATCTAAACAAAAATAATTGAGCCGAGACCGGTTCACACTTTTCTTGGCCCGTAGCCCGCCCCAACTTCTCCCGGTTCGGGGCCCCAGTCCCAGTCCCAGTACCGACTGAGCCCAGTCGGGCCTGCACAGTACCGGGACTGGTAAGGTATCGGGTCGGGCCGACCCATCCCGGTCCATCTCTATCCATAACTAATAAGCACAACAATAGTACCGGAGCTTAGAACAATAACCAACACAATTTAATAGCGTTAAAACATGCTTGCAACACTACTACAACATCAGTTCACAGTCAACCTCAAAGAAAGTTTAATATTCAACTTGTTCAAGCTCCTGCTATTCATCCTTCTGAACAAACTAAGTATTTTAAAACTTTGTCAAACAGAGAATAAAAAAGGTCACGAGATATTAAAATATGCATAAAGATTAAATTAAAAACTACATGAACGAAGTTTAATAAAATCCTATTTTCTGAACTCTCCCACCAGCCATATTTTGAACAACTTCTCTTCTCAATTCAACAAACTTTATGTGAGACTTGGAGAGAAGTGTAGGAACGAACATCACATCAAGACAATTGCTGAGATGTCCTCTAGAAGAAGCTGTCCTGATGCTTGAGCAAGGATTCCTGAACAACCACAAACAGAACTGTTGGGATAATGTGTCGGGTTCGAGACTATCGGCCCGTTACGCCCAAGCTTTGGTACGACCAAGCTCAGAACACAGTCCGGCTAATGGATATTGGTCCGAGATTATTTACTTATTTATCGGGCCGGTTGGCCCATTAGTTTCGAGATGTATTATTAATTTGGGTCAAACCCACATAGATTAGACTTTGGACTTGTGATGAATGCCTATAAATAGGCCATCACCTCCATGTATTCTCTAAGTTATTTTCACTATACTTAAATGCTGCTAGTTTCTCTACCCGGGATATTATCTACTAACGAGTGAGAAACTATGAAAAAATCATTATAGTTTAAGAATTGAGCCAAAAATTGATTCGGGAGAAAGGTTTTTGCAAAAAAAAAAGGAAAAGAAAATAGATTTGAAATAGACCTGTACAAAAACAGGTTCGGGCCGGGCATTTCATAAATTTTCTGCCCATCATGTGTGGGCGGGCCCGGCCCGGCCCGCAAAAACGGGGCTAACCATGTGTCCATACCCGCCCATAAGAGCGGGTCGGGTAGTCCACCGGGCCGTCCGGCCCGGGAAAACTTAAATTTTTTAAAAATTATATAATTTTTTAAATACTATAAAAATAATATTACAACATTTAAAAAATAATCAATAAGCTTATAATTTTTAGGGTTTTTTACAAGAATATTACTAAAATAAAACATATTTACATAAATATGACTATTCATTACTACAATGTGGTGTTGTGGTAACTTAAGCTCAAAACTTGAACATGAATTACTATGATTTCATTACTACTATGGTCATTAGCCATATTTTTGTAAATCATCTTTATTTTGGTCATATTTATGTAATTATTTCTAATTTTTATACGTCTTTCACCACATACAAAAACAATACAACAACAACATCCAAGCCTTAATCCCAAAAGAATTTGGGGTCGGCTAACATGAATCGATCTATGATATCGATGCCAAAAAGAGAAGGCGGACAAGAAAAGAAAAAAAAAGTAAGATAAAATGAATAAAATAAAGATACATAAATATAAGATAGCAATAACACAAGAATATAACCAAGATAAAAGAAAAATAAATAAAAGAGCATAAAAAAACTAGAAGATAAAAATACCATAAGAATATAAAAAGATAAGGAAGATAAATGATAAAAGAAACAAGAGAGACAAGAGATGAAAGGTAGACAAGACATCAATCGTCCACATGGATGTGTCCTCCACTTTGCTCTCTCCAAAGTCATACTCTCATCCAACCCAATAAGACGCATATCAGTGCTGATTACTCTAAGCCAAGTCTGTTTGGGTCTTCCCCTCCCTCTCTTCTCTGACTCTTCTCCCCACCCCTCAAGTCGTCTAACAGGTGCATCACTCGGTCTTCTATGCACATGCCCAAACCACCGCAAACAAGACTCCTGCATCTTATCTTCTATAGGTGCTACTCCAACCTTTTGTCTGATTACCTCATTCCTCAGGCGGTCTTTTTTGGTATGTCCACACATTTAACGCAACATACGCATCTCTGTCACACTCATCTTTTGAATGTAGCATTGCTTCACCGCCCAACACTCTACGCCATACATTAATGTCGGCCTAATTGTTGTACGATAAAATTTACCTTTCAGTTTAGTCGGCATACCTCAATCGCATAGAAATCCTGAAGCACTTTTCCATTTCATCCACCCAACTCTGATTCTATGACATACATCTCCATCTAATTCACCATCCTTCTGAATTACGGATCCCAAGTAACGGAACATATCACACACCGATATCTCCTTACCATCAAGAGTAATCCCACTGTTGCTACTGCTTCTACCTCCACCGAACTTGCACTCCATATACTCAGTCTTGCTTTGGCTCAGTTTGAAACCCTTGCTCTCCAATGTTTGTCGTCATACTTCCAACTTTGCTTTAACACCGGATTGTGTCTCATCAATCAATACAATATCGTCGCCAACATCATGCACCACGGTATATCTTCTTGAATTGACTTCACAAGTTCATCCATGACTAAAGCAAATAAGAAAGGACTCAGGGTAGATCCTTGGTGCACTCCAATAGTAATAGGGAACTCTGCGGTCCTCCCTACACTAGTGCGGACACTTGTAGTACAAGCATCATACATATCCATCATGATGCTGATATACTTACG